AAGAAGCTCCTGGATGCCCGGTTCATTCGGCAATGCTACTACCCGGATTGGGTAGCAAACGTTGTCCTTGTCAAAAAGCCGAATGGTACCTGGGGGATGTGTGTAGATTACACAGATCTGAACAAGGCATGTCCGAAGGATAGCTATCCGCTTCCTAAGATTGTTAGTCTGGTTGACTCTACAGCCGGCCATGCCTTGATGAGCTTCATGGATGCCTACTCCGGCTTCCATCAGATACCCTTGTGGAAAAAAGATCAAGAAAAGACGGCTTTCGTCACTGATCAAGGGTTGTTCTGTTATACGGTGATGTCGTTTGGGTTGAAGAATACGCCTGCTACCTTCCAACGGATGATTAATACGGTCTTCGTTAATCAGATTGGGAGGAGCGTAGAAGCGTACATTGATGACATGATAGTCAAATCCAAGCAGCAGGCGGATCACCTTGCTGACCTCCGAGAGACTTTCTCAACACTCAGGCGGCACAAAGTAATGCTTAATCCCAAAAAATGCGTCTTTGGTGTTGACTCTAGAAAGTTTTCGGCTTCTTGATTGATCAAAGGGAAATAGAGGCTAATCCGGTCAAGGTACAGGCGGTGATTGACATGAAGTCTCCCCGTACTGTCAAAGAGGTCCAAAAGCTCACCGGTTGCCTGGCCGCCTTGGGTAGATTTCTAAGCCGGTCAGGTGACAAGTGCCTCTACTTCTTCCAAGCAATCAAGAAGAAGACCAGATTCGAATGGGGGGAAAACGCTGAAGCGGCATTCCAGAAGTTAAAAGAGCACCTTCACTCGTTACCGCGGCTGGTTAGCCCCTTAACCGGTGAAGTGTTGTATATGTACTTAGCCGCCTCGGATCATGCCCTCAGTGCCGTTCTTCTTGCTGAGCGAGATTGCACGCAGCTCCCGGTCTACTTCATAAGCTACGTTCTCCGGAATGCAGAGCTCCGGTACCCAATGGTTGAGAAATTTGGTCTTGCTCTATTCATGGCCGTCAAGAAGCTAAAACCATACTTCTTGGCGCATCCGGTGGTGGTCTATACCGACCAACCCCTCAAGCAGCCAATGACAACCTTGGACTCATCCGACATGCTTCTAAAATGGGCTATTGCCCTTCAAAGCTTAGAAATCACCTTCGAGCCTAGAAAGGCAGTGAAGGGTCAGGCGTTCGCCGACTTCATTGTCGAAATGACCAGGCCACCCCAGCCGGATAATATAGATCAGGTCTGGAAGGTGCATGTAGACGGGAGCTCTACAATGAACGGCTGTGGTGCAGGCGTAATCCTGAAATCCCCGGAAGGGGACACTTATGAATATGCACTACGGTTCAAATTTCAGGCCTCGAATAACGAGGCAGAGTACGAGGCCCTGCTAGCCGGTATCCGCATGTGTAAGGCAGCAGGGGCAAGAAAGGTTGATGCCTGCTCAGACTCTCAGCTGATCGTTAGCCAATACAATGGTGACTATGAGGCCACCCATCCGGCAATGATCAAATACTTGCAGGCAGTCAAAGAGGAGGCCGGGACTCTTGATGAATTTAATTTAAGTCAAGTGCCCCAGTCAGAAAACAATCAGGCGGATGTATTGTCCAAACTGGCATCTTCCGCCACCTGTGATGCGCCTAGGTCAGTCTTCTGGGAAGTCATGGAAAAAAGAAGCATTGGGCATGATCCCATTGGAGTTCTTGACCGAAGCTCTACCTGGATGGATGCCATCCGGGATTATCTTGCACACGACACTCTGCCAGGTGCCCCTGCTGAGGCGGCTGCGCTGAAAAAACGGGCCGCTAGTTTTGAAATATTCCAAGGGGAACTCTTCCGGAAAGGTTATCTCCAGCCGCTCTTGAAATGTGTGACTCCTGAAAAGGGGAAAGAAGTCTTGGAAGATCTGCACTCAGGCTTCTGTGCATCGCACATAGGCAGCAGATCCTTAGCCAAGAGAGCCAGGCGGCAGGGATATTTCTAGCCGACTCTTGAGTCAGACGCCATGGAATTGGTGAAGAGGTGTGACAAGTGCCAGAAATTTGGCCGGCTCATACACCGTCCGGCAACAGACCTGACGGCTATCTACAGCCCGGTTCCATTTGCAAAATGGGGCATGGACATCTTAGGTCCATATACGCCTGCTACAGGCGGCCGGAGATACATTCTAGTGGCTGTAGGCTACTTCACCAAATGGGTAGAAGCAGAGGCGTTCAAGGGCATTAAGACAAAGGATGTTATCTCCTTTATCTGGAGAAACATCATCACCCGGTTTGGGGTGCCTCTGTCCATGGTCTTTGACAACGGTCCTCAGTTCGAAACTCCTATGCTCAAGAGCTGGCTAGGGGATCAAGGGATCACCCACTGTTTTGCATCCGTAGGCCGTCCCCAAGCAAACGGCCAAGTTGAAGCTTTCAACAAGCTCATCTCAGACGGTATAAAGAAGAAAATAGAAAGGGCTGGTGGTCTTTGGGCAGACGAATTACCTCACGTCCTATGGTCCATCAGAACAACTGCAAAGGGGTCAACCGGTGAAACCCCATTTCTCATGACATACGGCACTGAAGCCGTCCTGCCAATTGAATTATATGAACCAACACTCAGAATCATGCTCTATGATGAAGAGGCAAATTGGGAGGCCATGCGGCTAGCATTGGACTCACTCCCGGAGCGCAGGGGCAATGCTGCCTTGCGTCATGAGATATACCGTTTGAGAATGACGAGAGCCTACAACAAGCGAGTGCACAAGCGGCCTCTAAAAGTAGGTGACTTTGTTTTGAGAAAAATGGAGGCAACCGGTAGGGCAAATGAACAAGGGAAACTAACCCCAAATTGGGAAGGCCCCTACCGGATTACCGAGGAAGTCAGAGGCGGCACCTACCGGCTGGAAACTCCAGACGGTAGGCAGTTAGCCAGAACTTGGAACGTAGACAACTTGAAAAAGTACTACTTCTAAGGTTTTGTAATAGAGTATATTAATAAAGATGCTTAATTTTCAGATATTTTTGTTAAGAACCAGCCGTGCAATGCTCAGCCGGCGCTTATTTGTCTTATTTTATTGTATTTATCCCGTGTGATACACACATCCGGATCCTTGTCTGAAATTGTGCAATGCACGAGGACATAAATCCCTTTCACAATATAGTCCCATGCGTAATACGCATCCGAGCACCCATCTAAGTACAACTTAGGTTTATAAAATTCAGTCGTCTGTCCAAAAAGGCAGACATCCGACGATTTGAATTTAGCTTCAGTCGTCGAAGAGAACATCTCCCTTCCGGGTGGTACATTGTTCTAGGGATCACAACTCAACGCCAGTTGAATGATCTCTTGAATTCAAGATACAGGCGCCTATTACCCAAAGGTAATACAGCCGACGTTTAAAATCTTGAAGCCCCAATAGTAGTCGGTTCTACGAGGGCAAGCGCATAATTTGCCCAAACTATTTCAAACTGTCTGCCCAAAAAGGCAGACATCCGGCGATTTGAATTTAGCTTCAGTCGCCGAAGAGAGCATCTCCCTCCCGGGTGGCACATTGTTCTAACAATCAACTTAACAGTTGCACGATCCTTCGAATTTAAGATACAGGCGCCTATTACCCAAAAGTGGTACAGGCGGCCTCCAAAATCTTTGCGGCTATCAATGAAAGCCCTAAGTGCAATAAATCATTACAACTGAGATAGACATCCGGCTCTCAAAGAGGCCTAAAATTTGTACACCTAATTGGTGCCCAAAGGCACCACAATCGGTGGTTTATTTCAAGCCCAAGTAGCCGGTCTTTATTTACAGACCCTACAAGCGGCGCTTTATTTCAAGCCCAAGTAGCCGGTCTTTATTTAAAGACCCTACAAGCGGCGCTTTACTTTAAGCCTATATAGCCGGTCTTTATCTAAAGACCCTACAGGCGGTTTCTAGCTAAGGCCTACGTAGCCGGTCTTTATTTAAAGACCCTACAGACGGTCTTTTGCTATGTTCAAATGGCACCTCATCCGGCTCAAGCTATGTGATAGTCGGATGGCAGTATGGACGGCTGCTTACTTCAAGTTAGATTTAACTTGAAGCAAGCACCCGTCCAGGGGCAGACGTACCCAACACTTGTAAAATTATTGCAAAAATTGAAACAATTGAAAGCAAAAATATTGCAATGATCTTGAGAAAATCGGTACAAACCGGTTAATATATATATATATAATGTTACCCGGACCCACGTCCGGTAAAAAAGATGAAAGAATTTAGTACACGGCACGCAGGCCGGAAGATGAAACAAAATAAGCAAAAAAAAAAACTAATGCTGCTGCTGCGGAGGTTGAGGTTGTGGCTGATCAAGAGACGGCTGGCCCTCGCCGGCTCGAGGAGTTTCATTAGCTTGGCCTTGGGTTTCAACACCCTCAGCCGGCACTTCTTCTTCCTGCTCCATTTCAGCTAGCGCCCACTCTTCAAAGGGCGCCGGCTTGTCCAGCCCGAGAATTTGAGCGTCGTATACTTCACTTGCGTACCTATAACGCAGGTCGAAGCACGCGTACTCTGTCTCCAGGTGGAGCAAAGCCCACGCCATCTTCATCCGGGCTTCACAGCCCCGCTCATTTTCGTTGATCAGGCGGGTCTGCTCAGCCGTCATCTTGCCCTTGAAGTCCTTTTGAGCTTGAGCAAGCTCACCCTTCACTCTAGCAACCTCCGCCTTGAGCTCATCATTCTCCTTCTGAGCATCCGTCAATTTTTGGACGTCTGCCTGAAGGGACTGTACTTTCTGCTCAAACTCAGCTGCTTTCTTGTTAGCAGCCTCAGCAGCAGCCGTAGTTTTCCGGAGAAGTTCCTCCTATTTCATCTCCCGGGCTTTAGTTTCAATCTCATACATAAGCGAATTATACTGATGGACGTCAACTAAGTCGACTGCCCTTCTTTGGGCATCCCTTACCTCCTCCTGCTTTCTACGGAGAGAGCCCCGGAGTCCATCCACCCGTAACATCACCTGCAATGCAGCCGGCAAAAGAGAAGTTAGAAGGCATCCGTTGAAATTAAAATTTGCATCAAAGTAACTCAGCCGGTACATACCTCAGCAAGAAGTGATTGTACTCGGTCAATATTGACTTGCCCAACACCCGGGACCGCTTCCCTTTCAGAACGGGTAAGGGTCCGGACCATTCTATTGGCATAATTTTGTAAATCTGGCCAACAAGAAGTTTCTGCATCAACAGATTGACCGGTTAAGTACATGGCATAAGCACCGCCTATATTTTTCCGGTTGGCTGCAGAATCGCCCGACTGAGAAGCCTAGGACTTGACTCTGGCAGGTCCAAGCGGCCAGGGGTGTTCAAAGGGGGAAGCCATACCTTGAGCTTGTGGCTGAGGGGTTGAGCCACCCCCAGCCGCATTTGAGCCGGATGCTACAGCAAGCACCCGGCCAGAAGGAGCCTCCGGCTCCTCAGTTTCAGTTTCTCCCGTCTGGGAGCTAGGAATGAAGCCTCGAAGGCTCTTTCCACCAGAGGTCGACCACTCTTGTTGAGCAGGCGGCCTGGCACCTGAGACGGGAGGAGGAAGAGGAATGGTTCTTTGGCGTGTAGAGGTCGGCTGGGAAAGTTCCTCGTCGGGTCTCTTTGTCATTTGCCGAATGGAGCGAGGCATAGTCCTGCTCCCCGACTGCAAAGAAAAAGTTAAAAGCATCAGTATAAGTTAATAGGCATCCGGTGTAAAGAGTATGAGCTACAACTCATACACTCGGTATCAAGTGTATGAGCTACAACTCATACATCCGCGTTTTAGAGTATTAGTTGCAACTCATACATCCGGTAAAAACTAGAGAGAGGCATCCATTTCTTACCCCTTCATTCCGGGCCGCAACTTGAGCTCGCTTCTTCTCAAGCTGCTCTTTGCGGATCTCAGCCGCTGATTTTGCCGGGGTCATATCCGGTGAAACCATTTCTTTCCCTTTCTCTGCAAAACAAAAGAAAACAATTAGATATTGTCCAAGCACAATACAGGCGGATAGAAAGGCCGGTTAACTTGGACGTACGTTTGGAGAACATTGTACTCAAACCACAGGCGGAAAGGAACGCCTCGTCTCTAAACCAATCCGGATGCGGGACCCAAAATTTGGGGACAATAATGTGTGTCCCGTCATCCAGGGGCATGGTTATCTTTTTAAAGAGCCCCGACTCCATAATTTGATCCCAGGCCTCTCCAGGTATCTTTGGAAGGGCACATTATTTGCCAAGGAGCAACGGCTGCGTGTTGTAGTTACGCAGCCTCCGGTTCAGTTGGAGAGATGGTGATGACAGCATGTAAAACTTACTCTTCCAACTTGACCACTTGGACGGCTTGTCCAGGGTCATCATGAACTCCGGATGCGTGGTTAGGGTGTACCACGCATTCCAACCGCCTGGGGCACGGCTTAGATAATGTATGTGCGCAAACGCCTCCCAGCTTGGGGTCACGTCCTGCATCTCACAGGCGGCAATATATCCTAGAATGTTCACCCAAGAGTTGGGTGTAAGTTGCCAGATGTCAAGGTCATACCCCCTTAGTATGGCCCTGATTGTTCGATGTAGGGGGAACCGGAGACCTGCTTTAAAGGCCGCCTCGTAGCAGCCAAAATAGTTGTCTGCATGGTCCTGGTTGTCGTCCCAAACAACCGTTGCGTCAGCCGACGGCACCGCTAAGTCCCAGCCGTCCCCTACCGGCTTCTTTGCCAAAAAAGCTGGCAAAGTGGCGTTGAGGGTCACAATGTCCCGAGCGCTCATTGACGCCTCGGTGGGGTTGTTTACTGCCGGCCAGTTATATGCTTCCTGGTCCGTTTCAGGGGCAACCGGCTCCCTAGTAGTTGTGGCAGAAGAGGAGGAGGCGGATCCTTGAATGCTCTCGCCTCCTGATTCGGACGCCTCGTCCAAAATTCTATCGCTAGGTGTACTGGGTACACCTGGTTGGTCATAAAGGGCATCTTCAACCGGAGGTCCGGCTGAGCCCTCGAACTCGTAGTCAGGATCAACCGCCGTCCATCTTGTACGGGCCATTCTGTCCTGCACATGAGCATAGACGGTCAGATTTATGGCATAAGAGTGGACCAAACACTCCCAGGCGGCATCCCCAGTCCTAGATTCAGCCGTCCTTGGTGACCGGTTGACATCAGTTTTAGGTTGTGCCAAGTGTGTGTTGGGTGAGTCCATTTCTAACTACCTATTCAGCCGGAAAATTGATAAAGAGTTGTAAGAAGTAAAGGCGGTACCTTAGTACTGAAAGCTGAAAGTTGAAGTTGATTGGTACAAGTGCAGACGGTCACTACAAATATCTGCAAAAATAAACATCAATTAATCAGAAATCAGAAACTTACCCAAAAACACCCCACCCGGTATTGGTCAAACTTACCCAAAAACACCCCATCCGATATTAGTCAAAGTTTTTGGTCAAACTTACCCAAAAACACCCCATCCGGTATTAGTCAAAGTTTTTGGTCAAACTTACCCAAAAACACCCCATCCGGTATTAGTCAAAGTTTTTGGTCAAACTTACCCAAAAACACCTCATCTGGTATTGGTCAAAGTTTTTGGTCAAACTTATCCAAAAACACCCCATCCGGTATTAGTCAAAGTTTTTGGTCAAACTTACCCAAAAACACCCCATCCGGTATTGGTCAAAGTTTTTGGTCAAACTTACCCAAAAACACCCCATCCGGTATTGGTCAAAGTTTTTTGTCAAACTTACCCAAAAACACCCCACCGGTATTGGTCAAAGTTTTTGGTCAAACTTACCCAAAAACACCTCATCCGGTATTGGTCAAAGTTTTTGGTCAAACTTACCCAAAAACACCCCATCCGATATTGGTCAAAGCTTTTGGTCAAAGTGACTCAAAAGCCCCCCAGACGGTTAAAACCGGATGGGGGTCTATTGAAAGCTTTTGGGAAAAATTATAAAGTTTACCCAAAAGTTCACCCAAAAGCACCCAGACGGTAAAACCGGATCACTACACGAATTAAGCTCATTTCCGACGGAAAATTCCCGTCGGAAAATTGTGAAATCGTCATTTCTGTCGGAAATCCGTCGGAACATGTCTGTCGGAAAACCTGTTGTTGGAAAAAAGGTAGTTTCCGACGGATTTCCGACGGAAATGTTGATTTTGTCGGAATGATTTCCGTCATAGCAGGATCTAACTTTCAAAGGTATAGTCCGTCGGAATTTTCCGACGGAATATTCCGTCGGAAAATTTATTAAAAAAAAAATAAAAAAAAAAGCCCCACCCAGCCAGCCACCCAGCCCCACCCACCCAGACAACCCAGCCCCCACCCACCCAGCCCCACCCAGACACCCAGCCCCACCCACCACCCACCCAGCCCCACCCAGACACCCACCCACCAAACGCACCCCACCCTTACCCAAACGCCCCCCACCCAGCCAACCCCTGACCAAACGCCCCCCACCCAACCCCTGACCAGACCCAGGCCACCCAACCCCACCACCAACACGACCCACCCAGCCACCCCCTTACCCAACAAAAATCGAAATTAAAAACAAAATTAAAAAATCAACAAAAAAATCAGAAATTAAGGAAAAAATCAACAAAAACAAAGTTAAGGAAAAAAAATCAGAAAATCAATCCATCAACAAATATTACAAATTCAACAAAAATTAAAAAGTTAAGGAAATCAACAAAAAATCAGAAAATCAATCCAACAATTACAAAAATTTACAAAATCTACAAAAATTACAAATGTTGTTGTTGTTGTTGCGTTGTTGTTGATGTTGCTATGCGTTTGTTGATGTTGTTATGGTTGTTGACGTTGTTATGCGTTGTTGATGTTGTTGCCTTCGTTGTTGTTGTTGTTGAGGTCGTCGAAGGAGAGGAAGGAGGAAGGAAGGAGAGGAAGGAGGAAGGAAGGAGAGGAGGACGTACAGGAGAAAGAGGGGAAAGAGGAGATAGAAAGAGAAGGGGAAAAAGGAGAGAGAAAGAGGCGGAGGCAGTGAGGGAGAGAAGGGGAATTAGGGTTAGGTTTTTATAAAAATAAAGTTTCCGACGGAATATTCCGTCAGAAAATTCCGACGGATTAAGTTCTGTCGGAATATACCGACGGAATATTCCGTCGGAAACTCTATTTTTTTTTATAAAAAAAAATTCTCTTAAATTTTTATATAAAGATTTTCTGAGGGAATTTCCGACGGACCGACATCCTTTAATAATTTTTTTTTGTTTTTCCTGTTTTATTTACAGGTTCCGACGGAATTTTCCGTCGGAAATTTTTTTTTTTTGTTTTTCCTGTTTTATTCACAGCTTTCGACGGAATTTTCCGTCGGAAGCTGTAATTTCCGAGGGAATAAATTCCGTCGGAAAATTTCCGACGGATTTTCCGACGGAAATTTCCTTTTGCCGACGGAATTTTCCGACAGGTCGTAATTCCGTCGGAAATGTCGAATTTTCCGACGGAATATACGTCCGTCGGAACGTTTTCGTCGGAATTTGGCCTATTCAAAATTTGGCGGGAGAAAGACGAACCATCACCTCTCCTTCACCAAAAAAAAAATGGAGGGAAGGAGACCAACCGTCCCCTTCCCAGAATTGTGACAACTGTCACATTGCATGTTACGTGGCATGCCATGTCACAGATGCCACATGGCACGCCACGTGTCATCTGTGAGGGGCAAATGATTAGGGTAAAAAATACCCTAGCCACGTGGCCTAATCAGGGAGTGCCACGTGTCAGTCCCAGAGAGGGCAAGTGGGAGCCAATCCCAGGCTGACACGTGGCAGGCCCCCCATTGGTAGGGATACAGTTCCCCTGCCCTATAAATAGAGGAACAGACCTCATTAATGGGGCATCTAGAAAATTAAACACAAAAAACACAAAGGCAAACAGCATTTATTCTCTCTGAATTAGAAAGAAACCATCTACTTTTCCGCACTATTCACTTCGAACGTATTCTAATTAGATCGTTGGCGGCGGAACTCCACCCAACCGGAGTTTCGTTATTTTGCAGGTACAGCCGGTCAGCAAGCCAGTCTCGGAATTGTAACTCTCCCGCAGGACACAGAAAAAAACCCCGAAACAACTGTCATTTGGTTCGTGATACTATAACTGATGGTTTGATTGATCCCTCCTATGTTCCTACAAATGCACAATTGGCCGATGTATTCACCAAAGCTCTCGACATGTCGCAGTTTGACCATTTACTTCACAAGTTGGGCATTTTCACTCCTCATTCTCCAACTTGAGGGGGGTGTTAGGATTATTACGAAGAGTTAGAGAATATTTGGGAAGATACATCTTTGAGATTAATTACTTAATTATAGGAGTTTAATAAGTTGTGAGATTATTGTGTAAATCCTTTGATTCTATCATATTTTTAGATATTATCTTGTGTTATATATTGACTCAATCAATGAAAGAAGGCAAGCTTGTATGCCCTTTTATCAATACTTTACCGTTCCTCTGTCTCCAACTTGGAGTACTTTAGTATATTAATTTCATTAAATTAAGACCAAGTTTTACAGATTAGTATGTCATTAACTTTTATTCTACCAACTCCAACTTGGAGTACTATAGTATATTAATTTCATTAAATCAAGACCAAGACTTACAGATTAGTATGTCATTAACTTTTATTCTACCAACTCCAACTTGGAGTACTTTAGTATATTAATTTCATTAAATCAAGACCAAGACTTACAGATTAGTATGTCATTAGCTTTTATACTATCAATAAGATG